CACTATTCTTTAACAGGCTTAAATGTTTCTAAATAATAATAATAATAATAATAATAATAATTACAATAACAAAAATATAACATAAATGTCGATTAAATAAAAATCTTGTGTTTAATTCAAATTTAAAGATTCTACCATTAAAAAAAATATTTTTAATTTTTTAATTATGAAAAGACACTTAAAACTTTTTTATTTGATCAAAATACAGTTACTTTATAAAATAAATTAAATTTTTAAAACCAAATTTTACCTCAAGCTCAACTAACATTAATATTCAAAGTGTATAAATTTAAAATGGTTTATAAGTGAACACATTTAAAAAATTAATTTAGAAAAAATATTTTTTTAATCTATCGCATGCTAGCCTATAAAGGCTAAGAAAACAATGAAACAAAAACCTTTTATTTTAAATTAATATGGCCGTAAGGAATAATTTTAAATTAAAAAGTATACAAATATAAAATTTACATTAAAATTAAATACTTACGAAATCTACACCAATTGTACTAATATAGCTATCTGAGTAAGTTTCGTCCTGAAAGAAAACAAAAAAAAAAAAAAATCATAAAACATATCTTTTAATCAAACTCTATTATAAATGCATAAATATTAACTTTTAAATACTGTCATTTTTTTTTTTTATTTGTTAAATAAAATATTTTTAATATCCTTTATTCATAAAATATTATTCAATACAACAAAGTCCTAATACAATCTGTTATTATAAAATAAAGTTACTAAAATGTTCAATAAATAATTTAACATGTATTATAAAAATCTATGGTTGAATAGTTTTCAATCAGAGAATCAACCAGAAAGCAAATACAAAATCGTACTAAATGAAAAAAAAGACAAGTCATCATACCATTTCACAACTGTTATGATAACAGTTACTTTTATTTCAGGTTTGTAACTTGATACCCTTCATAAACACATTTGGATTCTTCGACAAATTGCAAATTATTTATATTCAATTTTATTCATGTGAAATTTAAATAACAAAAAAAAAAAAAAAAACAAAACATATTTTTAATATTACTTACGGAGAATCGAATCAAAAGGCAGGATTTTCCAACTCCAGAATCTCCGATTAACAAAAGTTTAAATAAATAATCACTGAAAAGAAAAGAAATTTTTGTTATTAGGTAATAAAAAAATAAAAACTTATTATTAATTAATCAAGTTTACAATTTAATTTTAAAAATTAAAACAAATAAAAATATATTTATTTCAACAAATGTAATTATAAAAAAATTATGGGTAAATGATTTTAATTAGTACCAAACAATAATTTTTCAACATCAAGTTATAGAGAGGGTAATATATATAATTTTAAAAAAATTATAAATAATTGAAAGAAATATCATATTAATATTTTTGGTTTCAAATTAACTAAAAAAAAAAACATTTAAAAGTATCACAGTAGTTGTGATATGAGAAAATTATTGACAATAAAAAAGTATAATCAATAATCAATCATATTTTTAAAGCTAAAACAAAATCAAAAACAATCAAAAAAAAAAAAAAAAAAAAGAATGAAAATTCAATTTTATCAAATTATAACAATGAAAAAAAGCAAATGGATTCCTTTGTCACAAATCCTATTGTCTATTGGCCATTTTATAACCATTTTATTTTTAAATTTTAACCTAAATTTAGTACTTTTTATAAAAACTTCATGCCTTTTAATTTACAAATTATTTTAAAAAACCTTTTTTTGATCATTTATTTAACTGATAAATATTGTCTAAAATAAAAACAATAAAATTATAATTATATTTAAAAATTAATAATTTTTCAATTGACATTAATTTCGATACTTAAAAGAAAATTTTAAAAAAAAAATTCTAAAATTTGTTTTGTATAATTGTAATTTTTTTACATATACTTTAGAAACATTGCATAAATAGACAAGTTTTATTAATAAAATAAAAAAAGTTAACCATCAAAAAAAATTATGAACATCAACCCTATAAACAATATATTTCTCGAAAATTAAGATTTTATAACTAAATTTTAGCATTTCACAATTCGAATTTGTTATGCTGAAGTATTTTTTTTTTAAAAATTGAGTTTGATGTAACATCTATATTTGCTTGTGCAAATAATTAATTGCAAGACTAAATTTGAAAAATCAGTTGTAATGAAGTTATACAATAAATTTTTAATGATGATTGGAATTAAAAAATTTAAAATGAAATTTATGTAGTTAACTCCCAACTGTTGTCTACAGTAAATATTGAAATAACCCTATTTTCTTAATAAAAATTAAGTAATTAGAATGACTCACATTTACACCTCAAATAATTATCACATGATCCATTATTACCAACCCAAGAGTATTTATGTGTCAGAGGCGTCCGATATAATTAAAATGGATTTAAATAAAGCCCAAAGCACTCTTTTAATCATTAACTAATAAATAATATAATTAAGAAAATTGAAAAAATTAAATTTAAATTTACACTATCCTATTTTCAACAATATTTTACATCAGCAACCAGCCAACAAGGAGTTGAAGGATGTAGCAGATGAAACAATATAAATTATATTTTTATGAAGTAATATCAGGAGTTACTTACTATTCTGGATTCATTGTAGACTTTATTTGCTGATAATGCTTACAATTCTAATCTAATATTTCACTAGAAAAATTTTAATTTGAAAAAACAATCACAGATCAAGTACTTAATTACGCCTCACTAGGGTACAAAAATTGATTGACGTCATGCCAAAGTGGCAGAAACCTGTATAGCCAATATATGAAATAAAATTTTCTGTTAGAAATTTCTTTTTAATATTTTTCTAAAAGGTTGGTAATTGCAATTCAATGTATCCAAATTTTGTAACGGCTCTGGTCTTTCACTTAAAATTTTATAAACTTAAATTCCAAAATGAAATCTCCAACATTAAGAACTCATATTCCTGAATATTTAAAACGCTTACCTAAAATTCCGTTTTGCAAATACAGGTCCCAGAAATTAATTTTTAATTTCATTTTAGATTTACGACAAAATTCAACAAAATTATTTTCCATACTTTTAATTTAATTGAAAAGGAGGTTATTTACTTTCAAAAAAAAACCTCAAGCTATATTTTTTTAAATAACAATTTAAAGAATTACGCTTTTTTAAATTTAATGAAAAAAAAAAAAAAAAAAGTTTTGAAAAATCAAAATATTTGAATTTAAATAATATTTTTGCTTTATGTTAATATTAAAAAAAAGAAATTTTTTTTTTTGTTTTTATAGAAAATATTCACTATGTTACCCTGAAGTAAATTCTTTTTTAGAAATATGCGAGAAAATTGTTGATTCTAATTTTCAACCTTTTTTTTTGAATTATACAGTGGAAGATGTAGCTCAAATAGTTTCAGAAGAATGGAACCATCCTGAATTAAAGGTATTTTTTATTTATTTTTTGAACTAAATTTTGTGAAGTAAAATAAAATGTCAAATTTCGCATATTTAATTTTTTTAGGAAGCATTTATAGTAAATGAAATTGATGGCAAAGGATTAGTATTTTTGGAAGCAGATAAATTTCCTAAAATGAGTATAAGAAATTTTGACTTAATAAAGGTATTATAAAAAATGAAAATTAATGATATGTATACAATACGCAGAATTTAAAAAATTTTTATTAATTGAAAGGAATTAACTGAAAATATTAGAAATTTTTGTAATATTGAAAAAGAAGAAGCAAACAGAGGAGTATCACTTCCTCTTAGAAAGCCAGGAACTTTATTCTTATGGTACAAAGCAAGGCGTTCTGGTCCTACTGCTTATTTCTCAACACCATCAACATATTTTAGAACGATACATATAATAAGAGATGAAACTACTGAAGAAAGAAGATATTATAAAATTCCAAATCACTGGAATAGAATACCACCTTATCGTCCTTGGTGCCCTCATGTTACCGTTGGAGGTATAAGAAGGATAAACCCAATGACTGGAACTACCCAAAGGCAAATGCCTCCGTATAAAATTCTTCCTTGCTCATTAACTATGAAAAGTTATCTTTAAAATTTTTCTAAAATTTTTAAAAGCAATATAAAATGTATCTAATATTATTGATGAATTTGTTTAATTTTAAAAACTGCTTAACTCCTATAATTTAACTAAAGATGTTCCTTTTCTTGTTTTGTCAAAATTTAACTTATATGAAAATTATTCAAAACATCAACAATTTCATAATTTTTTCGTGCCGAAGTATAAACATATATATATTATGTGCTATATTACGCATATTTAAATTATAATATAATAAAGAATATAATATATAATAATAATAATTTCAAATATGATTCGATATAATTTTCGTATGACTAAAGTTATACATAAGTTTTTACAAAATAATTATTTATTAATAATTTTATAATAATTTTTAAAATAATATATATTAATATTAATTTGTAATTATTAAAAACCTTAAAATCGTAGATAGAGGTTCTTACAAAAATAAAAAATAAAGATAACAAAATAAATGTAGACAATAATTTATAGTAATCAAAATTGCGAATAAAACATCGTGGTACAATATTTAACTTTTTGTCGTGGTTTTAAACCGAATAAAATTTCTGACACTTCTTTTAATGCTTATAATGTTTGCTGTAAATAAAGTGTAAATTTATGATGAAATGTTTTACATCATTCGAAGTTTCAGTAAAAACTTTTCTACAAACATAATAGTAAATAAAAGACAATTTAATTTAAAGGTAAAATAATAGCACCTGTGATTTTATTTTTTAAAAAAAATTGCGCTTGTCAATAATTTTATTTTTATTATAATCAATGTTTATATTCTAAATAAATAAATATTCTGATTATTTGAAAATAAAATAACTTTAAATTTATTCTTTAGTTCTTTAAGCTGCATTTTACAAAAAAACAAAATAAAGTATTTTGCGAATTCAGTACTAATATCAATGTAAATCTACCTGATAACAATTTTAAAACGATGAAAATTCCTAACCTGACACATTTTATTTCTTGTATAAGTTCAGAAGTTCAAACATTGAAAAATATGTTTATTGAAAATAATCATGAAATAAGAATTGTCGGTGGTGCTGTTAGGTGTGTATAAATGTTTTTATATTTACTTTTAATATTTTATTTATTTAGGTTGTTTTAAAATATCATTTTAAAAATTTTTTATAGAGATTTGTTATTAGGAAAAAAACCTGAAGATCTGGATTTTGCAACAACAGCGACTCCTGATGAAATGAAAAAAATGTTTGAGAGTAACAAAGTTAGAATGATAAATATGAATGGAGAAAGACATGGAACAATAACAGTTAGATTAAATGAAAAAAATTATGAGATAACAACATTGAGAATTGACACAATTACTGATGGACGTCATGCCGAAGTTGAATTTACTAAAAATTGGTTTTGCGATGCTAATAGAAGAGATCTCACTATTAATGCAATGTATTTAGGTAATATATATTATTTTATTATGTTTGCAGATTTCGTGTAGAATATAAATTAAAATTTTTTTAAATAGATTTCAATGGAACATTATATGATTATTTAACGGTTATGAAGATCTTTAAATTATAGAGTACGTTTGTTGGTGAAGCCTCATTAAGAATTCAGGAAGATTATTTAAGAATTCTTAGATACTTTAGGTAATTTTAATTCTAATTTAACACAAAATTCTGACACTTTTTTTTTATATTAAAAAAAGTATTTATTAATTATTTTAGATTTTATGGGAAAATAGCCAAAGAACCTGATAATCATGAAGAAGAAATACTACAAAGTATAAAGGAAAATGCCAAAGGTTTGGTAACTATATCTGGCGAAAGAATTTGGACAGAAATTAGTAAAATTTTAATGGGGAAATTTGTTTATGAAATATTATCAAAAATTCAAATGTTAAATGTAGGATCATATATTGGTTTTCCTTCCAGTTGTAATTTATCTGAATTAAAAAGAGTGACAGAAAATTTAAAAAAATTTGAATTTTCTGCAAAACCGATGACAATTTTTTCATCGTTATTTCATACACAAGAAGAAATTACTGATTTTTATTTAAAAATAAAAGCATCTACTTTTGATAAACAATTAGGATATTTTATTATTTTAAATAGAAATGATAAAAAGGAACAGGAATCTATTAAGTAATTTATATATGATTTATGTACATAAATGTTATTAATTTACTTGTGTAAACTTACTCGAAATTTTCTCCAACAGAGTTTATCAAAGATATATCCTCACCGAACAGAACTCACGGCAAGCCTTAACCTTTTCTCTTGAATTATTGAAATATAATGGAAATGTAGAGCTTCATAAAGAACTAGAAAATTGGAGAATCCCAAAATTTCCACTTAATGGCAACATGCTGAAATCAAAAGGAGTTAATGGTAAATAAATTTTGTGAAACAGTGGAAAAATATTTTACATTTAATCATATTTTAATTATAATAATAATAATAATTTTAGGAAAAAATATAGGAAAAGTATTAAGCGAATTAAAAGAAATTTGGATAAAGGAAGATTTCAATATTGATAATAACAAACTACTCGAGTTTGTGCCAGAAATAATGAATGAAAAATTTTCATCATTCAGAGATGAAAAAAATGAAATAAAAAAGCTGCAATTGTAATGACTCAGTAAAAATTAAAAATTTTTTAAAATGTAATGCCGATTTTGTTTTTTAAATCATTTTGTATCTGCATTCACTTCATACCTTTCCCCGATAATCTTAAACATGTTGTTTATTTTTAATTATATTATACAAATTAAACTATAAATGTAATTTTTTTTTTTATTACTTTATCATGAAATGAAACCTTTTACTAAAGAGAAACTATAATGTTTTAATGTAGAACTTTACAACTTAAATTGAATTTTTTTTTTTTTTTTTGTAACCAAAATAGAATTTTTGGAGTTGAAATTGCACAATAAACTTATTCTTTATAATTTCAATAATAATAAATTACTATTTAAGACGTATATTTTAAAATTTTAAATTTTTCACCATAATTTTTATAAAACTTACCTTTGAAAGCATCCAATTATATTTTTTTATATAATGATTACTATTTAAACTTTTATATTTTTATCACGAAGTAAAATAATTCTTAACCAATTACATTCTATTGAGACAGTTGTTGTTGTGTTTCCATATCAATATTTTTTCATTTGAAATTTTCCAATATATATTT